AGTTGATAAACATTTTAAAATCTTCATTATTTCTTGAACTTTGTGAGATAAATAAAATATATATAAAAGAAAAAACGACTTCAATTTACGTGACACAATAATAAATTTTATATCTGAATTTACTATCAAGATTTAATAATGAAAAATCTCAAAATTTTAATAAATAAATTGAGACACACAATTTTTTTCATTTTTGGGACATTTAAATCTCAAATATTTTTTTGTCAAAGCCGGGCTAAAAAGTGACCATAAAAGGAAAACTAGAAAGCAAGTTGATAAGATCCATTACTCGTATGATGTTGATGTTTTGTGAGAGTGATTAATTCTCTCCATTTATTTTTATTTGTCATTTTTTATTTTACGAAATTTAATAAATTATATTAATTTAATATTTTTTTTAAAAAAATAAATATTCAAAATATATACAAAAATACTGTAAATTGCAATTTTTAATATTAAAATAATAAAAATATACATCATAAAATATTTTTAAAAAATTAATTAATTGTGGACAGAGTTAATAATATTTGCGAGAAAAAGGAAATTGGGCCGAATTTTCCTTTTCAACAAACTAACTTTATTAGAACTTGAGTGGATGCAATAGGTACTTAACCTAAAACTTGGTAGTACTCAAACAGGAAATTAAAACACAGTGAATTGTTTTGAGAACCAGGTTGGTAAGCAGTTTCATCATTTTATCTTAAAATTATTATTGATGCCAAAGTCATAAATCCATTTCGAATAATAAAATGCACCAGGCAGCTCAAGTTGAACGCTTGATCGAAATGAATGTTGTTTTAGACTTGTAGCCAAACCAAACCAATGTGCTCAAAAGTCATACACTTGGGAAATTGATCCAATGGATGATCTATACATTATATTATTATTTTTAAAATTAAAAAAAACAGTTAAAAGGTAATTCGAGGAAAGATGAAGGATGATTGTGTAACAAAAATCTCGGGGTTGTTTGGTTGGCCGAATAAGTTATGATAATTAATGTCATAATAAGTTATTTTATTTTGTATATTACATAACTTTATGTTAACACTATAGTAAAAATGATAGATAAATAATTTAAAAACTACCTAATCTTTCAACCAAACATAAAAAAAATAATTCTATATTAATTTAAAATTATTATATATCTGATATCTCACGCTAAACAACTCCTAAATAATTTAAATCATGGAGAGTAATTTAATATATCTCAAGCTTTCGTGGAATGATAATGATTACTTAATCTCGTTTATCTTGAACTAGAGAACTTGTTATTGTCTCATTATTACACCCTCATAGAAGTGTATATAATATTAGCATATAGTTGAGTAGACCGTTTCAATAATGTTGGACTTTGCAGTTACTAGTATTCTAGAAAATTTAAAATTATAATAATGTGAGACTTCTACTACTCAAATCTCCATTAACTCCAAATTTATGGTAGTGATTGTATTATTTTAATCATATTTGGATTCACCATTTCTAATAGGTCAATGTTATTCATGAACAATTGTAGTAATGCTATAATTAATTAAAATTTTCAACAGTTAATTGCTTGTTTTTTAATCAAGTAGTAAATATATATTAATTTTATGATTTGAATCATTTGAGCAATTTTCTAGGCCCCTCTTGCTATGTGCATACAAAATTTTGTTGTCCCACTAGTAAATTTTTATATGGACATAATCATTATTATATATAGAAAATCAGTTGGATAATTTAATGTGTAAACTAAAACATAAATAATTTCAATACATGTTAATTACTGGATATCAGAGAATTGTAAAGTCGGTGTTAATAAAAACAGTAACATCTTCGTTCATGAATGTGGCAAAGAATTAGTGTTTTTGTCTCTACGTACGTACGTACGTCTTGATTCTATCTAATTTCAGGACCGACTTAATTATATACTAATTGAATTGTTAATATTCATAAATATAATAAATTATGATTGGAAAAAAAAATTATTCAAACGAATATACACTCTTTTTAAAAAAATTCGAGCTCTTTGCGATAATCTCTTGATTTGTCTCCTCCGGAATATAATAATTCAACAACGTCGTACAACTGAAACAACTCTGGAGTCTGAATAACTTAAAAAGTACAAATGTCCACAAATAAAATACTTCTTCAATTATTATTTTAATTTTATTTTTCATTATAAATTTATATATATGATGCTTTTTTCATTATAAATTTATATTTATCCTACATTTAGTTAGGAATTAAACAATTAATCTACCGACTATCGACGCACAAGATCTAAATTCGTTAAGATTGATGTTTGCAGAAGTCGAAGACAAATTCGATGAACATAAAAATATAAAATATAAAAATATATTTCCTTGTTTCTTAAAATGGACCAATGAACAATTTCTCTGTGTTTCCAAAGACATGTGGTTTAATTTTATTAATTTGCTAATCTTGCTAACCCTCCATAACAGGCATATTAAGTGGATCTGGTGCCCTTCTCCCCTTCCACTAATACTTATTATCAATTATTTTTTTTTCATAGAAATATAATGATCTAGCGTTTCATATAATCGATCTTATTTTATTTGAAACTGATGCGTAATTATAATAATTGTTGCACCTACACCAAGTAAAAGAATTAAAAGAAAAGAAAAAAATGTGGAGTGCTACCTATGATAACTAATCAACTTGAGATTGACTCATGTGAAGAAATCTTAGATATTAATTAACTTTTAAAATTCCAATTGAGATTGGTTTACGAGTTAAGTTGATTAATTAAAACCCAAAAGAAATAGAGGAGGCTATCTACAATAGAAACAAGCACGTGGATATATATTTGTAATTTTATATTATGCAAAGTTAGATAAAAGCATAATTAAATTCATTAACAATGCTATACTTTAAAGTTCCAACTACCTAGTAGCGTCTTATTATATGCTGACTCGTTCAAACAACTTATGAAACACACAAAAAGTAGATTAATTCAACCATCTTCTTAAATATTGCTAATTTGTAACCTAAATATAGGTATTTGACCAAAGAATTTGAGAGCATGATTTCAAGTTTGACTTTAACTCATTGTTAGCCGTCATGTTTATGAAATTGACATAAAAAATTCTCAATTTTAAATGTTAAAGTTCTTCGTAAATAAGTAGGACTTACAAATTGTGATTTCAATTTTTTTTAAAATACAAAATTTGATTCATAAATTGATATTTTTTTTTAAAAATATTTTAATAATTTGAAATTTTATAAAAAGAGTCGCTCAACGGGAAGAAATTGTAGTAACCACGTGGAAGGATGGTATTAGAGAGTATTGAATCATTAAATCAATGAATCTTTCTGAAATTATATGTACTTGAAAATTCGTAATAAAACAAAATCACAAAATTTATTTGTAAAAAAATATATGGAGATATGTATAATTGATTAATATGATGTCTTATGATATTTTTTTATTTTATTTATGAACTATGATTTATCAATTTTGATTAAATTTCGTAAGATTAGGGGTTACTTTTGATAATTCTTAATGATTAGTTGATCATTCTACCTGCCCGACGAATTGGACCTGCAGATTGCATCCTATTCCATCTTTAAATAAACAATGAATAACAAACTATAAAGTATATAACTTGGTCAAATTTTAAGACCAAAAAGAACCCATAAAAATACTTTTCATACTATATATTAAAGATTGTGATAGTGCCATGATAATTATCTTTTCAGTCAATAAGAAATTTCTATTTCAATTTTTGTGACTGAATTTTTTTTTTATCTCTAAAATAAAATTGCTCTATGTGAATCTACATTATTTAGGTCCCAAAAGAGGTACTAAATCTCATATGAAAAATAAAATTAGAAGTTATTTTCCTTTTTAAATGCAAAATATTATTTATTATTCTCTCTATAAGAGAGAGGTTAAGTGATAATTTGCAAAATAGTATATTAGAATTTTAGTGGATCTCTTTATAATTTCCTTATTTTGGAACATAACAAAAGATCTCTTTTAATTATTTCCCTCCATCTCTGGCATATTAAGTGGATCTTTGCCTTAGCTTGGATCTTGTTATATAATATGTATTTATTATTATGGAACAAAATACATGAGATTTTATTATACATCAATCTCCAAGATGCTAATTAAACATTTTCCTTTTTGTTTATTTTTGGCGATGATAAGTTCACCCATTGCCATACACCAAGAAAATGATTAAAAAACGTTCAATAAAAAGAAAAAAAAATGAAATCGAATAAAAAATAAATAAATATCTAGTTTAATTCAATTAGTGGAGTTACACAAATCTTATATCCGTCTCTTGCAAACATAGAAATAGTTCCCAAAGTAACTCATATCATATTGACCCATAAATCAACTTCGAATGGAGTCACATGAAATATTTGATTTTAATTTACCTTATTACGAGGAATACTAAGTTGACTAAAACCCATGTATGACGCAAAGCTAGATTAATGAAATTCATTAATTAAAAATACCATCTACTTCCTACTTGTGTTACTTTTGAGTGTTGAATCATAATTTTGCTTATGAAAAACACAATTATCACTTCTAACTCCTATTTGTTTGATAATATTTTTCGTGTCAAATATTGCTTATAATTTGTTATAATACATTTTATTGCGGAGAGTTTTAAGTCATAGATTATTGAAAATAGTTGATTAGGACTTAAGAACTTTGTATAAACACATTTTTCGAGTTTTGCACGTGAGAAATGCTGAAACCGAAAAGGACTGCGTCAAATTATTGAAAAGTTAATTAATGTACGAAAAGGAAACTAAGGGGCACAAAACCTTTTCTATTTCAATCTATTCGTCCTACTTTCGATTCACACCCATGATCTTCCATTTTTAGATAATAATTTAATCCTAAGCTTTTTTGTATAATTTGCTTTAAAACCACAAGATTAAAAGATCACAGGATTTTTAATTTTTTTTTTTAAGTCAGTGTTAAATCAAATGCAAGACAAACAATCATTTTGGTATGTGATTTTCTTACACCAAAACAAAATGAGAAAAACATGATATATGTTTCGCAAGCCACTGTTTAATTTTGACCAATTCTTTTCAACATCTGATAAAAGCCAAAAGTTTCAAAACTCTTCATCAGTGAGATGTTACATAATAATCTGCATTCCAATTTCAATGAAAAGGAAAAGAGTTGAAACTTGGATTAACTATAACCTAATTCATGGACTCATCCATCCAACCAGCTACATGACAATTGCATGGACAAAGTGCTCATATCATAGTTGGATGAATTCAAACCTTGATGGCATACTTTCTAAGTGGAAAGTACAGTTCTTTTTTCTTCTCTCTTTCTGTCTTCAAAGATGCCTGCACATTAAACCACAAGTATGTTACTAACTGAAATCTAGACTGGCAAGTGAAACACACAAGTCAAGAGGCAAAAAGACATTGCCACGGTAATATTAACAATATTATGAGCTCCTATGAATTCATAGGACATGGAAAATCCCAACGGCCATTTCTTTCCAAATTTTAGAATAACATTTACAACATGTAAATTAAATGAAAGATAAAATTTTATATTCGGAAGCAAAAGTTTTTGAATATCCCCAAGGAAAAACGATACATGACATACTAAGATGAGCTAGCTGCAGGTTACTCTTGTAGTTGATTAAGATAATCAAAATGATTTATGGTCAAGGAACAACAATCAAAATCCACAAGACATGACATAATTTGAGGATGAAAAAAAGTAGGCTGAATAGCCTAACAGACATTCGTAACCCCTCTCTTCTCTTCATCACAGAAGAACAGCACTGTCATGGTGCCACTCCCTTTAGAATTTTCTTACCACTTGCCATCTTTATGATATACACATTTAAACTCGCACAATTTTTTCCTATAAAACATAATCTTACACCCAATCAACATCAACTGCCTCGCCATATTCAACTCAGCACTTAAAGCAGTTGATGTTGCAAACATTATCTCTTTATTTATTACAGTAATCTCTAATGAACATTCTGCAGTCAAATTACCTACAAAGTCGGAACTTTCTACATGGATTTTGCTAATTTGACCAGAAGAAGGCAATGAAGATGAAGGCTACTGTTTATTACCATCACCATTACAACTTATTTAAGCGTGTTTGGAAGTGTGAAAGGGTTTTTGAAGGTGGTGGAGCATGGTTGGGATCTTTGAACCTCTCTTCCAACCACCACCTACTATACACTGCCCACACATCTCCTTCTTCAGCCTGTCATCCTTTTTCTTTCACCCACCACGACCAACCCCTCGGAAAGTTTCTGATATGAGAAGAGAATTTAAAGAAGCTAAGAGGAGCAGGACTGGGGGCTTTGACTCTTCTTCTATTTAAGTCTATCTGGTCCTTTTTTATTTTACCTGTCTATTCTGATTTTGGTATTAAATTTAAATTATCACATTTACACTCCAAATATGTGTGCATCTCATGCATTTTGTCCATCCAGCTCACTACAACCAACGCCACATAGATTTGGTCAAAAATCAGAAGCAATGAACACATATGTTTTGATCAAGTTGAGGTGTCTGGATGAAAACTCGAGAGAGGTGTCTGAACCATGCAAGTGTATGTGTGTCTGTTAGGCTATTTGGTAAAAAAAGAATGAGATATTGGATATAACGTCCTTAGGACTACAATCACTACAAAAATTACCTGCTCAAACAATTCAAGAGCCATCGAGTACAAAACAGGCTAGCACACGAAAGAGTATTTGGTTGACTAAGACAACAGTAAAAATGAGTGCAAATGACAACAATGGAGCTCTTATTTATTAAAAAAATTGAGACAACTAGTACAAACCAGCAGACGTAAAATTCAACAACAGAATGTTAAGTTAAGAAAATAACATGAAACAGTACCATATTACTAGAATGCAGATTTTCACCAAACAAAGTCACAATCTTTTTCAAGAGGTCCAGATATAAAGTACCTGGTGCTTAGTAAGACGTTTTCGAATAGCTCTGGTTTTTTTGGGGCGAAGATCGAGAGGCAAATATTTCTTGTTCTTGTATGCTTCCCTCAGTGCCAACTTTTGCTTCTGCGATATAACCGTCAACACCTGTGCTATTGACAATCTAACTACCTTTCTGCATCAACACATTTCAGTTAAATATCAAGTATATGTATAAACATTTGAATATACCGCAAATAGGTAAGAAAAATTACATCTTTGAGAGCTTATTGGGGGCACCTCCAGTGACTTTGGCAACACGGAGAAGAGCAAGCTCTGCTTTCAGGTCCTTCAGCTGAGCCAAAAGCTCAGTCTTGGACTTGTTCCTCAGCTCGTGAACTTTGATCCTTGCTACAAAACGAAAACTGAATTATCAGAATTGGCAATACAAAATTGGACCGAAAATGCAAAGAACGAAACCTTCACTTACCCATGGCGTATCACTCTCTCCTGGCAATGTTGAGACTCAGAAACCCTAATTAGCGGCAGAAAGAAGACGCCTGTTGGCTGTCTGTGTTTCGAACGTGGGTTGAAAAGGTATGGGCTAGTAGAATTTTAAGGCCCAAGTACCACAATAGAAATCCAGTTACCTGTTCAAATCAAAGTTGGGCTTGTGTTTTATAACAAATTTTATAATTATTATGACCATTAATCTGTGTATTTTCAGTATACATATATATAAAAATCTGTACTTATATATTTCGGTATGTAAATTAAAACATAGTAATTGTGTATAAGCAAAATTACTACATATATACAACACATATGTATTACTGAATGGGTCCTATCATATGGCCAATAACATGAAATGTTTGCTCCAAATAACAATTAAAAGAAATTATGAATATATCATTTAGTTTGAATTAATAGTTTGTCATTTCATACAATTTAACTTTTTTAATTCTGTGTTTAAAATTTGTCACATGAAAAGTAAAAATTAGAGAGTTAAATAGAAAAGGAAAATTTAAGTATATCTTTCTTAAACGATGAAGAAGATAAGATGAACAAATTGAAAAATAGATAATCAACAGACAGCCTATGTAAAAAGTTTAAATTATGATGCATTATAAAACTCTTTGGTTAAATTATGGTGCATTATAAAACTCTTTGGTGATCCTTTTCATTGGTTTTAGTATTGGTGGACACAATTACATGTGTAGACCAACTATAGAAAAAGTAGTTTAAATATTCATTCATTTGGGAACAAAACCAAATCCAAATCGGAGCTTAAACTTAATAACAACAAATATTTTTCTGGAACACAAAGTTACAACATTTTCTCATCCAAATGGAAACACACCAGAATTACAAACAAATCACACTAATAAGCAAGATACACAGTAATGTGCAACACAGTCTCCACTCCATCAGTCTCTTGAAGCTGATTAGTAGCAGGAAAAGTCTTAACAGTAGCAAATCCCTTAGCGTTAACATACTTCCCCGTTCCAGCCATAACTGCAAGATGTGATTCAGAAACTCCCATTCTATGAACACCAAAAAAACTCAAACTATCAGCATAGCTTCCACTCTTAAACATCACAGTAAACGCCATGGTTTGACTCAACCCGTCTTCCGAGCTAGCAACGTAAAATCCTTGAGCTTTCCCAATTAAACCCGAATTCAGCTCGTGTCCTTCGGTCAATTCATCGTCGAATACGGTCAATGTACCGAACATCAGTTTCTGGAAATTAATTCCTGATCCTAATTGCTGCAAATTAATCGCTGGCAAACCATTACCGCCTCCGATTATTCCGTTGTTGTTTTGATTGATAAAATTAGATGTTGTTCCGCTAAGGCCAGTAAGGAAAGGGATATTGTTGTTGCTGATGATTCCGCTGTTGGCGTTGTTAGTGGGAACGCCGTTGTCGACTGCTAAAACGGCACCGTTTGGTTTCGCGAACGGTACTTGACCGCTCACTGCGGGGTTTGTTACCACTCCGGTAACGGCTATAGCTGAAGGATTTGATCCTCCTAGGATATCGTGCAGGAAGAAGGAAAATGTATGATCATCGTAAGCACCAGCACCAGCACCACCGGCTACAGTACCAACACCAGCCCCAGCTCCACCAGCTACAGCAGCACCCGTTGCAGGTGTTGCACCTGCTATAAAATATAAAGCGTGAGAACTACTTTCCTTGGCTCGTATTGAAGAAATACGAGCAAATTCTTTCAAATATATAACGTAGTCGTCATTGCATATTGAAAATTTGCTTAGCAACTTGTTAAAGAAAGACATGGAATTATGTAAAGTTAAAATAAGGCTATCAACCTTATTTCATAAAATATATGTTTTCAAATGAGATGATTTTACACAATTTAATACCTGTAGCTCCAGCAGCTGCACCAGCCGCAGTTGCCCCTGAAACTGGTGCTTGATCGGTAGGGTCAGGATTTTCTAATGCTACAGTAGGGGTGGCCACTTCCTCGTCAAGGATTCGACCTGCTGTAGCTAATGTTATTGTGAGAGCTAGAATGAGTAGGTATGAGATAACGGCTTTGATTTGAAAAGAGCTCGAATTTTGAATTGCCATTATTAATCAAAGGAACTGATGAAATAGTAGCTAGAACTGAGAGATAGCTTGAGAAATGATTTTCTGGAATGAAGATGATGGATAATCAAGAACATTGATGAGAATTTATAAACGTGTGATTACAATGGAGAAAAATTGAATAGTACTTCATTTGGTAAAATGAGAGGAGTTGATGAGATGGATTAGGTATAAACCTTTCCACCCTAAAAAGTGTATTAGTTGAACAGTTGCAATAATTAATATTGTATCATGTACAAATAACAATCAACTATAAAAAGCAAATACTGACCAAAAAGAATGGGGAAAATTTGATACTGCTATGTTTGCATCTCTTTGCAGTGTTGAGTATCCAGCTTGGGGTCTACTATTTGATAAGGATATTCATTCATAAAGTTGGATTGGGGCAAATAATCTGTTAACTAGCACGCTTTATGCTAGCTATGCCTCATTCTATGATAAATTAACGATGCCCGTGGCGTTAATATACGTATGAGTAAAGTAAGTGAGTTACGTTTATCAACGATCATGTTTTAAAAAATAATTAAGATAAAAAAATAGTTTAGTTTTGAACCGATTGAATAAAAGGAGTAAAGTTTGGTGGATCCCCGAGTAATTAAGTCAAGCTTGAAAGAGGAGATTTATTATTGAAATTAAACAAAATTAAAGGATTAAAAATGAAAACGAGCCCTCAAATTTCCTCCTAATTTCTACGTTTAGGTTAATTTGGAGTGTGCACGTGACTTGCACATGCTAACTAAATTGCTTGCGTCTCCTCTGTCAACGGATACCTTATATTTAACGGCTAGTTTGTTCGTAATCGAACGCTTTCACTTACTCTCTCTTTCCGGCAAGAGAAAGTAGCTTTATTTTTTCTTCTTTTTCCAATATTAATACAACTTTCTTAGTGATCAAAGTAGAAAAAGAATTGATCACTCCATCTTTTTAACGAAAACAAGTGTCTCACTCACAGTTCATCTCCCAAGAATTCACAAACCAATTGTGAAAATCAAATTAACAATATTAATATTAGTATAGTTAATTTGAATCAAGATTTTACTTTTTTTTTTTTGCAATTTTCGGTAAAGGGTTTTGCGTAAGAATCAATGTGGAGGAATAACGAGAGAGTCTACATGACTCCGGCGAGGGGTTTCTTGACCCCACCGCCGAAATGGAGATCGCCGGCGACGGAAAAGGACCAGAAGTGGCCAACACATGCACAGAGTGCTAAAGCTGATCTTTTTCACGTCATTCACAAAGTGCCTTCCGGTGATTCTCCTTATGTCAGGGCGAAACATGTTCAAGTTAGTGCCTTTTCGAGTTTCTTTCTTTTCTTGAATCTGCATTGCATTTCAACGATAATTTCTTGTTATTTCTTCTTGGGGTTTCAATATAGTAGTATTGCTATTGGATTACAGGATCACATTATGGAAGTTTGTTGAATCATATCAATGAAGATGTTATGGACAATTGTGTGTGTAGATGCCTGTTTTCTGTTATATACATATTGCCTAGAATTAAGTGCTCTTCATTTTGGGGGTAGTTTTATCTTCTTGACAAGAAATGTGTTAAATTCTGTTTTTGATTGAAGTAGTTGTTACTAATCCATAAATGGCAGTTAATTGATAAGGATCCAGGCAAGGCAGTTTCTCTGTTCTGGGCAGCAATTAATTCCGGTGATCGAGTTGATAGTGCTCTGAAAGACATGGCAGTGGTAATGAAACAGTTGGATCGTTCAGACGAGGCAATAGAAGCAATAAAGTCATTTCGAAATCTCTGTCCCTCTGAGTCTCAGGAGTCCATTGACAACATCTTGATTGAACTCTACAAGGTAAGAGCTTATCAAACTTAATCTGATATGTATCTTTATTGTACATACATTTTTTGTGTTTGAATGTTGCTTAATGAAATGTATATCTTGCTAATCTCTCTGCCTACACCTTTTGCTAGATCATATATTGGCTAATACAGTAGTGACTGGTTATTGTAAAGAATAGTAGTTATCGGTCCTCCTGTTTAAGGTTTAGTCCATCCAACAACGAATTACACATCTTCCTGATCATTTCCTAGTACCCATTGGCTTAACGTAGTGTATTGTGACTGTTATTGTAAAGAATAGTAGTTATCTGTCCTCTTATTTAAGACCTAACTACGTCCAGTTTCAACCAACATTTTTCCTGACCATTTCCTAGTACCCATTGGCTAACATAGTGTAGTGACTGCTTGTAAAGACTAGCAGTTATCTGTCCTGTTGAAGGCTTGATCCGTCGACTTCAAACTTACACAACTTTCCTGCTTTATACAAAAGTGAATTAGATGTTAGTCACTGCAAAAGTCATCTATAACAGTAGATGTAATGGCATCTCTTTGTGCACTTATCAAGAGTCAATATTTGGTATGCGCACTTTAAATTTGTGGAAATTGTATCAATAGGAACAGTTTTGTCTTAAACGATATGAACAGGTAATCCCAAAGAAATCTGAATTTATACTACTTATCTAGTGGTTTCAAACTTTTTGAAGTGGAGTTGTTACGAAAATCTAGCAACTTATGCTTTTGACAATACGTGGATGCTGGTCTAATGATTGTATAAACCCTAGAGTAGTACTATTGTTTCTTTATCTCGCGACTATTTTGATTACATTTGTTCTTCTGCAGAGATCTGGTAGGCTCGAAGAAGAGATTGAATTACTTGAACTGAAATTGAAGAACGTTGAAGAAGGCATAGCATTTGGTGGGAAGAGGACTAAGATTGCTAGATCTCAAGGAAAAAAGGTTCAAATCACAATTGAAAAGGAGTACGCGAGGTTGTACCTGCTATTATTTTTATCTTCAACTTCAGCATTATTTTTGCTTGTCTAACATAATCAAATTCTTGTAATTTCAAAATAAATGCAGATTGTTGGGGAACTTGGCATGGTCATACATGCAACTGAATAACTTTAAATTGGCAGAGGAGTACTATAGGTAATATTCACCAACTAAAACAAATTGAGCACTTGGAGGTGTGGCTTTATTTGGAGAAAAATTGCTCACATGTGGAAATTTGTTTAATGCAGAAAAGCACTCTCTCTCGAATCGGACAAGAACAAGCAAAGCAATCTTGCAATTTGTTTGATGCACATGAACAAGATTGCAGAAGCTAGGTTTCTGCTTCAAAGCATAAAAACCTCAGATAGACGGCAAATGGATGAGTCATGCACCAAGTCCTTTGAGCGTGCCACTCAAATGCTAGCTGAGTTAGAATCTCATGGCATTCAGAACTCCAAGGAACAGGTGGAAGAGATGCGGGAGGTTAGGATAGATTCATCCACTTCAGATGAACATGATCGCAGGGGACACGAGAAGACACATCCACCTCCATTTACTGCTTCTGGACCTCCAAAGCACTTTTTGACACAGCCAAGAAGATATTCATGTTCACTCAATGATGGAGGTTGGTTGAATAAGGACTCTGTTAGTGCCTGTAGTCGAAGATTGTTATTTGAACAAACATCAAATAATGAGAATGTGCAGTTAGTTGTGAATCATAATTTTAACAAGCTCATTTCTGTCAACGACATAAGCGAGGGAGCATCCGTTGTATGTGGACAAGTGTTCTCTAGGTCATGGGGTAATGGCGCTAATGTGAGAAGTGAATGTGATTTGCAGCCACCTTACTCCAAATGGAAAAACAACTCTTCAGGAAATGATGGATCAGACCAAATTTCTTTAGAGTTGTCTAGGTCTCCAACAGAATCATTGCCTGATATTACAAGTGCAAGAAAATGTTCTGAAAATGGGAGTAAAGATTGTTGGAGTTCCACTTTGACTTATAGAGATATGGTGACATTAGAGGATACCACCGAACACTTGGACAGCACAAGCTTGAAACCTTTAAACCTGCCTGCATGTACAAGCAAGAAGAGTTGGGCTGATATGGTGGAAGAGGATGAGCTAGGTTTGCAATTTCATGAAACTCCAGGCAAATATTCAGATGAAAATGAGAATATCGATGCAAATATTATTAATCTTAGCCAAAACATTGACACATTGTGTCTGAATGAAGGGTATCATACACAACCTGGACGAGAAGCAAGGCGTTCCTTGTGCTTTGATCATAATGACAGAAAAGAGAAGTGTTCATCTGGCTTTCAGGGGAAAGAGCTTAAGTCTGGAAGCTTGAACTCCTTGCCCCCTATAGGAGACATTGCTTATCAAACTCCAGTCACGTTGATGCGGAGGAACAGATTGCAAGTATTCAGAGATATAACTCCTGAAAGTCCTAAACCTTGAGCCTATTATCATGTACAGAAATAAATAGTCATTCCAAATGCTTTAGGTTTAGTGTACTTGTTAGCTAGCTGATCTTATGATCATTTTAATACTGCAAGACCTATTATGCTTAGCCTTGAGAAATAAGTGTTGGTAAGTGTATACAATTTTTCTTCTATATCTTATTTTTCTCTGAACATACCATTTTGCCTGATATCCATTGTGCTAGATTGAGTTAGCTTAAGTGAATAGATTCACCTTCTGGCTTCTTCATAGTTGTCTTACTTGCAATTTTTATGCTTATTTTACTTCCATTCTGAGATATGCACATGGTTTTGAATATGTCATTCCAAAGAAAAGTTGTATGCATTTCAAATCCTGGTTCCTGAAGTCCTCTGTCAAGAAAGACTACAGAGTTAAAAGGAAAAAAAAAACACTAATTTTTTATATTTTTCATAAATAATATTTTCATTCGTACAACACATTTTATAACAACCTGTTCTTCATTAGCTCTTCTCGTCAAAACTGAAAAAGAATAATCATAGATTGGCAAAGAGGTTTAATTAAGTTTAAAAAGTGTTATATTCCTTTTAGAATGTCCAAACAAAGGAGGAGGCCAAGCATTTCTTGTACAAATTAAGCAAGGTAGTTAGTAAAGCCGCCCAAAATAATTTAATTAGCGGAAGATAAGATAGAAATAATAAGAAGGTCCAAAACTTAATTACTTATGTATAGTATAATTATCAATAAGATGTGATAAAATAATGTATTAAATGGTGCATTTGGTTTGTTAAATAAAAGACTAATTTTTCTACTACGAAGTGGAAAGGCACCAAGTCCACTATTTCGCACCTACTCAATACTATTATTGCACTTAACAGCTCATTGGCCCTCTGTTTTTAATTAATCCAAATTGAAAAGCATAGTAGACTATTCATATACCAAAAAATAAAAAAGAAATTAATTATCTCCTTTTGCAAGTAATGATGAAAAACTGTTTTTTTCTTAATTACAAGAAGAAATTAGAACCTTATAGAAATCTAGAAAATGTTAGAGTTGTCTCATGTTGATGTCACTCCACTGATCAGAAACCATATTTGGTTTAATCAGATTGATGTTAAAAGCTTATTAATCAAGATTTCACAAATTAATCAAAGATGTTCAACATAAGTTTCACCAAAATTGCTAAATCTCGATTTTTTTTAAAAATTGGTTAGTAAACATAAGTCAAGTGTATAAGCTTCTGAATTGACGAGATGAATATCATACAAGCTAATGATGAAATGAGCCTTGTTTATAAAGCAGAACGATCAATCAAAAAATTCTTCATATAACATAATAATATCCTGTTAAGTCTACAAATTAATTAATCTCTATTAAAAAAATAATAAGTTGATTAAGCGATGGTGCCAACAATTAACAATTTTAATCCATTTAGCTGACTATGGTTGTCTCCATCATAGATTCCACCGTCGGCAAAATGGTCGGTTCGATCAACAATCATTTTGATTATAGACCACCTATTATCACTTTCCTTATTTTTGGTCGGTTGTATTATATATCCGAATTAAAATTATTTTTCCTAATCGTCCCTTTGTATAATTTTCTGCGCTAATTATAATTTTTATCAGGTTAAATCAACTTACAATAACAAATAACTTCTCATATTAATCCTAATATGATACGATAACCTTCAAAAAATTTAAAAGTAATACCAAAAGTAAATTTACATCTATTCTTAATTTCTTTTTACACCATTTAGTACATAGTATTCCTAAAATCTAACTCCTTTTTTTTCTTTTAAAAACGGCTAGAATCTAATTATAATGCCACGTGTCAGCACCCAAATAAATTGGAGGCTAGCCAAAGAGACATTGACAGGTGGCTTCCAACTCAAAGGGTATCCTCTTATTCGTCCACTATATATTTAAGTAGCATTAACTTGTTAGGAAATAAACAACACAAATTAAGCTTTTCTTCTCCATCTAAATTAAGAAAAAAAATAATAATTAAAGTAGTAAGAAACAATAATGCCAATTTCTAGAATTGCCATCGGAAATTTAGCAGAGGCTACCAAGCCTGATGCTCTCAAGGCTGCAACAGCTGAGTTCTTTTCCATGCTTATTTTTGTTTTTGCTGGTTCAGGATCTGGCATGGCCTTCGGTAAGTATAACTTATATACGCTGACAGACAGTATAAAGAATTTTTAATTTACATTGAAAATATATAATATTGGTATTTTTTTTACAGGTAAGCTGACGAATGGTGGCGCAGCGACGCCAGCTGGACTTATTTCGGCATCCATAGCACATGCCTTTGCCCTTTTTGTGGCAGTTTCAGTTGGAGCAAATATCTCTGGAGGTCACGTAAATCCTGCCGTTACATTTGGTGCTTTTGTAGGAGGTCACATTACACTTTTTAGAAGTGTATTGTATTGGATTGCGCAATTGCTTGGATCCGTCGTTGCTTGTGTGCTCCTCAAGTTTTCTACTGGTGGACTGGTAAAGCCATTTTCCTCTTCATTGTGGAATTTTCTAGTGAAAATATTTCAATTTATGGAAAAAAATAATAATAATGCAGGAAACATCGGCATTTGCGCTATCAAGTGGAGTGACACCATGGAACGCAGTTGTTTTTGAGATCGTAATGACATTTGGGCTTGTTTACACTGTTTACGCGACTGCAGTTGATCCAAAGAAGGGAGATTTGGGGATAATTGCACCTATTGCAATTGGTTTTATTGTGGGTGCTAATATCTTGGCTGGTGGTGCGTTTGATGGTGCATCAATGAACCCAGCGGTGTCGTTTGGTCCAGCTGTGGTTAGCTGGACCTGGGACAACCACTGGGTCTATTGGCTCGGCCCATTTGGAGGTGCGGCTATTGCTGCTCTAGTATATGAAATCATTTTCATTGGTCAGAACACTCACGAGCAGCTTCCTACCACTGATGATTACTAAGCATATTGGATTTAATTTCCTCTCTTCTTAATTTAATCTATAAAATCAAATGTTGCATAATTAATGTTTATTTCAAGGTTGTTCTTGTTGTTGTTTTAATCCCTCTTCTCTTTGTTTGTCTTTCAAAACTTGGCTTTTCTTAATTGTTAGTGGAGTTGGCTTTACTTTGATCCTTACAATTATTATTGCTAATTGCGGACAAATTAACGTTAACAACTTGCTAAATCAGCAGGGAGGAGTGCCAATTTATATATATACTCCTTGCTATTAACCTTAGCAAATAGTCACGCCCAGATCTGGTGCGTGCGCAATTTGATTTTGGGCGTTTCAATATCGGGTGAGACGGGTCCTGCTCCGATACCACGTTGAATTATGTCTTAATGCCTAACTCACACCCTAAAAGCTAGCTCAAAGAGAGGAGGATTGTCCAAACCTTATAAAGAATTTACCCATCTCATTAACCACCGATATGAAATTTTTGTCATTCTTTAACAGTTACATATACCACTAGACAAATATTAAGTAACATGATTGCGTAAATATTTATACAGCATCATACACATAACTTCAAGTTTGTTAAAATAGATCAAATTTATATAGCCGTATGCTTGTAACATATTTTGACAAAGTTTTTTGTGGGTATTAATTTTGATCTATATAGTTGCCTCAACTAGCCTAGGTTTTAGATGGCTGAATTGAGCTGCAAAATAAGTTAAGTTACCAAATGAGCAAATCAATTATCAGCCCAAAGACTCTGCAGCACCCATTAGTATTTTGTTGGGGCCAGAAATTCTCACTTTTTAATTGTTTGATGTGCTTCATGTCTTATTACGTTTAAGCAATTATACATTTACCTTATGCATTATACCTACCTCTTTCTCATCTACCAATCAAAACAATGATTACTCTTCCTTTTAGCGGTGGATAAAAGGTAAGTTCTACGTACGAAATATTCCTCTTTCAAGTAAAAGTCGAAAATAGGTCGTTTTCAAGAAATAGTTGACATAAGTAATTTATTCTGTTTTAAATATTAATGATTAATTTTACGATTCAAATCAGTAGATTAAAAGAAAAAACGACTTCATCATTGTTTGAAAGTTTCCATTCCTTTTTTTAGTAGTAGGTGACTTTTTTTTTCCTTTAAGATTCATAAAAAGTCATTGATTGATCTAAGCCATCAATAATTAGAGACAAGCGGTCACAATTGTACTTCTTTGTCATCGGTATTCACCTTTCTTAATGAACTGAATTAGGCCGAATTTTCATCGGTTAAAAGTCGATAATTGATTTAATTGCATCAATCGGTAGAACTAAACAAAAATCTGTTAGGGAGATTACAAATTAATAAACAAAGAAGTTCATGCAGGCCACATCTTCATTACGATAAAATAAAATCCACTTACTATTCCTCACTCCACCATTTTTTTACATCTAGATTTTTATTTTTTTGTAATCATTTTAAAAAGATTGACGAGTGCTATCAAAGCTTTGCCTATCCACTAAATAAAATATTCTATAACTTTACCTTAGATATATGATATAAATATTTGTGAAATAAAGTGAAGGATAGCTACCTTTGTTTCCCTTCTTAAACCTGTAAAAATATCTAACAAGAAAAATTTGGGTACATTTAATTTTGTTTAGAATACGTGACACCAGCTTAACATAAGAAGTTTTACATCGGTAAAACACAAAAAAATATTGGATATATATATGTATATTAGTCTTACCAATTAGTGACGTTTTTTTAAAGTTGTGCAGGTATAGATTCAAAGTGAACAATATCACTAACGAGCTGGACCGTTATAAAGAGATCTAAGTGCTACGCGTACTTATTAAATCTCCCAAAGCAAAAGAAATTTACAAGAAAATGACTAATTGTTTGATAACTACTTGATTGATTACTCAAAAAATAGATACTGGGTATTTGATAAGAAGTGTGCTTAAAGATAATGTTATACAAAATTTTAAATTTGCAAATGACTTTTCACTAAATTCAAAATTGTCAATCGTCACACATACTTTGGTACAGTTCGCATTAACATTAATCACATATTAGTTAAAAGCCAACGATTATGTTTAATCATTTAAGTGATCATGATTTTTGACAAGCACAAAGATGATTTTACAATTATTCATAAAATTAATTTTTTAATCTAATCATATTCTATCAACCAGTAATATTACAAATACTGATACATCATAAGGAGAATAAAAGAACAATAACGGAATGGAGAATAAGTTAGAACTCTATTTTGGGAACAGTATTTTGGAAAATAGAAAAAATTATGATTGGAGCAGATAGACTCCTACATTTCCTTTTTTTAAAAATAAAATAAAATTGTTCACTTGATGTGTGATATTTTTATTAAGGATCGATTAAATTTGACTTTACTTATTACAAGAGAATAGAGATTAATCCATTTATATCATTATATAAAACGTAATTTATAGATCAAAACTTAATAAAGTTTCTTTCATATGAATGTCGATGAATTATTAATAAATATTAGTGCGTTCGCTTTATATATGTTGCTTCATGAATTCAATGGCTTGACTTATGTTTCAAATTGTGGCAAGAACTTTAGTTTAATCAAAACATCCAAAACTAGCTTATTTAGAATCAAATAGAAAAACATGTTTATGTAGCAAAAAGTATATATTACTGGAAAGATTTTTCTGAATAGTATGAATTTCTGTTATATCGCACTCTAAACCTAGACCTAGATGTCAAGTAACTTTATCTATCAGTATGGTTAGAAGTTTCAAGTAGTTGTAATTTACATGGATTATTGGAATTAGAGGAAAAATTAAAGATGTTCATTAGATATGACATGTTGAGTAGCCACACATGAGATTATCTATCTATATATACTCTAGTAAGTTAATACAACTAATTAAGCCTCAGAAACACTTAGTAATAATTATTTAAAGAGATCAGAACAGAGTGCGTTGTGATCATGGGATTTTCTACACATATACAAAGAGCGATCACTAAATATTACTATTACTCATCTCACAAACCTACACCAACTCTAAACAAATAGTTCAAATTATATCCTCCGCGAGATAGCCAGAGGTAACTTCTGCATACATTCTACCCTCTTAGATCTTGTATTGTAGTATTACATTAGATATATTGTTGTTGTTATACGTCCCACCAAATTAGCCCGTAAAAAATGAAAAATCTTGATGATTGTCAAAGTAATAATGATCATGAGTACTCATCCATATTGAATCTGGGCAATAATTATAATCCCATGTATTTGATGCCATAGCTGGTAAATCATTCTTAGTTTCGATTTCTTCGGTTGATTCGACTTCTTTCCATATTTCATCCATGGAATAGACAATCATGTTTTGATCCCCTTCATATATTTTATTTTCTCCAGCAACTTGCAACAACTCATTTCTTTCAGTACGGAAGTCCTCAACAGGACTATTGGCAGAGGAAGAGGAACAATTGGATGAAGATGGAGATATTGAAGCCTTATTAGTATTCTTCTTCTCATCTTGAGCTTGTTTCCTCATATGTGTTCTCCAGTAATTCTTGATTTCATTATCAGTTCGCCCTGGTAATTTTCCAGCTATTTTTGACCATCTGCACTTAAAATAGCCCTGTCAAATCTCAAATGTCTAGCAAAATAAACTAAGTTAAGTTGTTGGGACTAATAACAGCTCTGTCCGCCAAAGTTAAGACAGATTGCAAGATTCAGCTAGTGTTTTTTATTTTTTTTTGTTTCTGTTGAATTTTGAACCTGAAACCTCAGGATTCTCAAGTACTTCATTGACTGAGGATCTAATGACTAAACTCAGACATTGTAAAGTTCAATCAGACTAAACTTGAACAGATTAAATTTTCCTGAGTGCAGTTTAATTCTTGATATATATATATATATAAGAAAACAAATTAGAGTATAGACAAACCTATTTCCATATTTGGAGTGAAGTTGAAGAACAAGAAGTTCTTCTTGAGGAGTCATCTTTCCACGTTTTAGAGAAGGATTCAAGTAATTAACCCATCGTAATCTGCAACTCTTTCCACTTCGTTTCAAACCTATAAATAAATGAATCACAAGAAATGGAATGCAGAAGAAGAAGGGGTTATTAAAGTGTCTCCCTTTCAAAACTAAGCCTATATTCTCTCCCGCCTATACCAACCTTCAAACCTGAAACTTTCGCCAGAAAATCCCAGCGACGATCACCAAACATCTTCACATAAAATACTAGTTGAACATCTTCTTGTTCTGTCCATGGACCTTTTCTCATTTCTTCTTCAACCATTTTCTTTTATTTCTTTATATCTTGTTGCTGATTTGTGTACATGACTCATCATATTTATACTGCCAATGTCCTCATTTTGTTGGTCTTATTATATTTTGGAATGTTGTGTCTACTAACAAGTGGTGTTGGAGTGCTCATTTTAATTTAGTGGCACAAAAAAAAATCAAAAGTTGCCATATGATGTAAGCCATTAACAGGGAGGACCCAAATGATGAAGATAAATCTAGATAAGAGGTTCATATCTTGATGTGATGGAACTTTATTAATTCTTTTATAAGTTGCTCGCCATTTCACACTTATTTTCAAATTCCTTTTTTCTTATTTTATCTTCAATACACGTATGTATATATTCAGTATAATCTCTTATTTATATCGATGTAATGTAAAAACTCAACAATGATAAAATTGAATTAATGTTCAGGGTTAAGTGTTTAAGTTAAAATTAGTATTCATTTAAGGCGTAATTAGATTAAGTTCAACATTATTACAAAGCTGGCCGTTATAGAAATTCGCTACGTCTCAGATGTTAAGTGTCTCTTGACTACAATATATCAAAATACTGAGACACTGGAAGTTGAAAAATTAGCCTTTAGCTCCAGCTACAGTCACACTCAATAATATTAATCAACGCCTAATTTCAATTATAAACTATGTCGTTTGATCATTATATTTTTAAAAGATTAAGTTATAAGTCTTATTGTTAATGTTTGATTGAAGACTACATTTAAGGAACAAATTAGAAGTCTTTTAATACATAACTTATTTATATGTGACGTACGTACCAAAATTATCTTCAATCCCAACAATGATAAGAATTTCACATACATTGAAAGTCTGTGTGGAGAAATCTTAATAGTTAGTTAATTACTTAAAATTTTATTTTGTTGATGAGGATTCAAATTATTTCATTTATTTTTTGGATACTAATACACTACTAATATGAGGTTGAGGAGAATCTTAATAATTCAGTTAGTTAGATGGTTAATTACCTGAATTTATCTGGTTGATGAGGGGTTGAACCCATTTCTCTTTAACCTGCCTCTAATTTTAAGTAGAATAAAAATAAAAAATATGAGGCCGGATGACTGTTTTCTTTTTGGTTTTAATTTATTTTAAAAACATAGAGGAGAGTTTAATATCCTAGATATATTCAAAAGTTAGTCTTTTCCTTCGTTTCTATATGTTCCATATTTTGTTCCATTGATGCATAAATTCCATCTGGTCATTTAATTGCATAATTTACCTTATAAATGAAATGTTTTTTATTTCTATTTTTTTTAATAAATAATCGGACTTATAACTAATGGAACAAAATTACTAATCATCACAAATTAATAGAGGTTAAAGTGGAAATAACCCTTTTGATATATATCTTTGCCAAAAAAAAAGAGTTTATAACTTATAAGTAGTAGATGAAGCCTGGATTAGTGGGTAGACTCCAAAATATTGGGCAAATTCTTTTGAAATGTAACAACATTTATCTTGTCCTAACAGTAATTAGAACACTATATAATAGAGATAAATAATGCAAAGTCATTTTCATCTTTCTACGCGTCAAAATTTCTTTACTTGTGGACTTAGTTGCAACCTTTAATTATTTAATATAATATACTTGTTATACGAAAACCAAACACGGTTACGTTACACATATTAGACAAATCAACTAACAACGATATGTAAATTATTTAGTATTTAAAATTAGATTTACCATCATTTATGGATACTTTACAAAAAATAACTTTGATTCCACTTGACTAATGGACAAATTTTGCTCATGCCTCAAAAAATTTAAGACTCTACTCTCAAGGTCATTAGAGACGTAGGTCGTAGGGTACATTAAATAGACAGATCATTAAATTATTCAAACGTTATTTAAGTTAAAATATATTTTGGATTAAATAAGTAACGATAACCTAATCCACCAACGTATTACCAAATTTTAGTTCATTTATCTTTTGTTTTAATAATTATTTGATTGTCTAATATAACTTTCTTTTTATTTTTATAACTATATAGAGCATATCTGTCAAAAATAAAATTCCAATTATATTAAAAAAACTCAGAGTCTGACTTAAAAGTTGGTTAAACTGATTTAAAAGTCAATTTTTTATTTTATTAAAGTGTTTGACAATTGTTAACTGACTTATTTTAAGTCAAAAGCTAAAAGCTAGGTGAGTGGTGATTTTTTATTACAATTTAAAAGTCATTTTATGTTAACTAAGTATATTACCTTTTTACTCTTAATTCTTTTATTATTATTATTATTATTATTATTATTATTATTATTACTATTTATTATTATTATTATTATTATTTTTATTTTTATTTTTATTGTTTTTTAATTTTATTATTATCATTATTTTATTTTTATTTTATTTTTTATTATTATTATTATTGTTATTGTTATAATTATAATTATAAAAAAATTTGTGATGATAAAGAAATATGTAAATGATAGGAAATATTACTTATAGATGTAAAATATAAATTAGCTTTGTTTTAAATTTTTTAAGTATAAAAATCTTGAATTAATTAACTTTTTATCATGTTAACAGTTTTAAGGGTATTTCGGACATTTTGTCAAAAAAAAATTTACCAGCACTTATTTGTCAAATTTAACACATCAATAATTTTTTTTAACTGAAGCACTTTTATCCAAACATATAACTACTTATTTTAAAAATAAATTTCAACACATTCAAAAGTACTTTTTAAAGATTGTTAAGCTCATCCAAACAGACTTTTAATGGACCAATTTAAGTTATATGTATCAACTCAAACACTATGGGATCGTTTGGTTACTGGATAAGGATTGAGTTATTCAAGTATTAAATATTGCATAAGCTTTACCGTGTTTGGTAGCATATTTTTGTTAAAGTATAAAATTCAACACACACAATACTATGTTTGGTTATAAAATTAGAAAATCACATAACTAATACATGTTTAAGTTATGAGTCAATCTATGTATTGTTTTATGCAGGGTAAAAGATGGAATAAGTTATACCTGAATAACTAATACCTGAATAAAAATATGTATTGACAATTTTACCCTTCACTCTCAATCAATATACACCACAGGCTTTTAGATAAACATTCCCATCCTTTATCCATCTGTAAATCTAGAGAATGGTTCTTCATCTTCCAGGCAAGTAGATTGAAAAACTTTCAATCTGATGTTCTTTCTTTGAGGTTAGAAGTTCTCAAACTCAAATTTTGGCTGATTTTTTTATTTCTTCTTCTTCTTCTCCTCTAATTTTCTCTTTTGTGTTTTTCCTCTTGTTAATCCGATGAGATGAACGAAATTGTAGATCTTCTCAGTATTTTCTAGTTAAGTTGATGTTTGAGTACACCTAAATTTGATGTGGGTTTTGTTTTATTTGTTCAAAATTTGTGATTTATGAACAAATGGGTTCATTAAGTTTAGTTGCTTTAGCTTCTAAAATTGCAAAAGACAAACATGGATTTGCAGTTTGACAAAATAGTATTAGCATTCTAGCTTTAGAAGCCAAACAAAAATAAATATTTTACCCTGTTTTTCATGTTACTTTTCATTTTCTTTTCAATAAAATTGAACATTTTAGTATAAAACCATCTATTACCTTCCTATTATACAAAATGTGTCTGCAATACTTAATTAAGTAACATGATTGATACTCTTTTTTCTTTCGGGATTCAATTTGATCATGATGTTGTCATTTTTAATTGGAAAATAGGTATAAATGGATTCTCAGCAATTGTGCAATGTTGAATCCTTTATGATTCTCGAGGAGATTGTGGTGCATTCCTATATTGTCCTTATCTGCTTTTTTATGACTATTTACAGCATGTTATTAAGAAAACAATCTACAAATAGGCGGGGCATTCGATATTGTATGAGTGCTAGAATTCCAAAAATCTTGTCTCATCTGAATGTTCTCCTTCGTGACAATGATATTGTATGTATTGACAAGCTTAGGATGGATAGAAACACCTTTCACATATTAGCCTCCTTAGCCAAGAATATTGGAGGTTTGACTGACAGTAAAAATATGTCGAGTACTGAAAAGTTAGCAATGTTTTTAAATATTTTGGCTCATCATGAAAAGAACAGGTCTATCAAAGTTGATTATATTAGATCGGGGTGGAGTGTAAGTCGAGCCTTCAATGAATGTGTAAGAGTTATTCTTAAACTAACTCCAGTGTTACTTGTTAAACCTAATCCGGTGCTCGAAGATGATAGTGATGATCGATGGAAATGGTTTAAGGTAGGTAAATTTCAATCTAACATTTGATTTACTACAATAAACTTGAAATATTATGGTGAAAGTATTTTTATTTTTAATAGTCATTTAGTATTTAGATTTGAATTTATCTTATAGGGTTGTCTTGGTGCATTGGATGGTT